CTGGCCTCAATGATGTAGTTCTACAAAACAGCCACTGAAAGGGTTAAGGTAATCAAGTGAAACTGTGAAAGCCTTAAGTTGGAAAGACAAATTTGAAAGACCAGCACATAAAATAGCTATAATCCCTTGTAGAAACGAGCACGAGACAGGGAGCAAACTGTTTTACACACATTTGAGTGGGCTACAGTAGCAAATAGTAACATCAAAAATACCAGTTGCTAAATTTACAAGAGTATGCAACATATTGCTATAAGAAGTATTAATAATTTGACAAAATGCAAGTTTATTGTACATGGAATTCAAAGTATGGGCATTTCAATGAAGAAATACTAAGACAAAAACAGGTTAGCAAGAAAAGCAAAATTTATGAAATTACAGGCATAGCCAAAATGAGAAAAGGGGCAACAAAGTCAATAAATTAAAATTCACACACTGAAGGATCTCAGACGAGAAGATCAAGGACAAAATGAGAATGCTTCCCTAAACAATGTGCACAGTAGTGTGCATACATGCTACAGGTAGAGGCTTCCTGCACCCTAAAGTGATCAGGGCCTGATCAACCAGCCTGTTACTGTTGGTGGCATGCAAACCAACATAGGAACCAGAGCCCAGCTGGTCAGGTACTTATTTTAGGTGCCTGTCCAGTGCCTTCTTGAAGACAGCCAGGGATCTACTGGTGATCCCCCTTATGCTGGGAGGCAGCTGAACAGTCTTGGGTCCCCTGATACTTAAGTGCGTTGTCTCTTAGCATACTTGCAGCACCCTTACTTTTCACTGGGGATGTGCTGCATTGCCTGCCCAGTTTTTTGCTTTCCTAGGGAGTGATTTTTGTATTCAGATTTAGGACTAGTCCCTTTAGGATTTTCCAAGTGTATGTTATCATGTACCTTTCTTGCCTGCATTCCAGGGAGTACAAATCAAGGGGCTTAAACAGTGACCTAAAAAGAAAAACGAAAGCTATTCTTTTTAAATTTAGTAATTTATGCGGAAGGGGCTAGTTGCCCCTCGTTACCAGCATTTAGATCAAGGCCTCTCAAGACGCACATGGCCACTAGGAACATAACCTCACAAATTTGTAAGGATGTCTGTAGTCATACTTTTACTACTCCTGCAACTGGTAATTTGGACGTTTACTACTTAATGCTCCTCTTGCCCTCGGCAACACATTAGTGAAACTGAATCCTCCCAGATAAAAGAAATACAAATGAAGGGTTTGCCATGCTGACAATGCTTCTGTCTTGGAATCAACGATCTAGGATTACTGTTACCCTTGATCAGCGTTTGAGCCTTGACTGGCCAAAATACCCAACATCCCTAACATTAATCCCATTTCTAATGTTGCTTATCCAGACGGCTTTATTTTTCCATTGAAAGGTCAAGCATTCTTCATTTGACAGAGACCAATATATAACCTTAACCATCTCATCTTCCCTGGCATGTGGTTAGAAAAAAGTATCAATATATATATCCATGACCAATTTTGAGTTCTTCTAACCCTTGCAACCTGGCCTGGGGACAGGGCTCTTCAGTTGACAGCCTGTTCAACTAGGTGGCTATTATTGGTAGCCCACTGGCCTTCATATCCATGAAAATTTGGTTGATCTGGAACTTGGAGGTAGCGATTCGTATATAAATGATACAAAATATCCAGTGAACAGAACTTGCTCAAGTTCCTCGATGATTCTGGAACAAGTTGACAGTATAAAGCTTAAAGCTCCATGTGTAGTGAAATGTACACAAAATCCTTTCATAGCACAATTCTTAATATAGCATTTCCGAAAATCAGAATCTCACCAAATCTTTATCCAAACTTTTTAACTCTTCAGGGATTTGTCCGAGCATTCACTTGGTAAAATTAGAGAAACATTTGAAATCTAGCTAGATCCCGCGGGAAAAATTTGGCTTTCACACCTACGATGCATCGACTGTTGTAGAAGTTGGACAAGTCTGTCTCCCTGGTGTACCCACCTATATGTGATTACAGGGGTCGAGTCACTCCTGGCCCACATGATGCAGTTTTGTGGCCACATCCCATACCAGGCACCCCAACAGAAATGAAATTGTCTGATTTTATTCTGTTATCCTAGGTTAAATCTACATAGTGTGCTTCTTGTGTCCCATAACGTATGTGGCCTAAAGACCATTATAAAAAAATGTATGCATGTCTGAACACAAAACCTAAAAAAAAAATTATTCCAATTCTCCCTCTCATGCTCATCACTCAATATTTTGAATCTTTTCATCACCCCACTTCATATCTGCCCAGTAAACAGACTCCACCACTGCCCACAAAAATACAAACGATTACAATAACAACTCACTGCTCACAAAAAACTTCCCACTACATACTCACATGGCACATGTGCATCTGATTTAAATTTACTAACATACAGTACATCACTACAGTCATACGCAATATTCAATTAACGCACATGTAAGAGAAACTTTTGATACAGTTTCTGTAATAAAGTTGGTAGAATTACCGACAATATGTAAAGTAAAAGGACACAAGTGCAACTAATGTGACATTTTATTGTGGCAACGTTTCGCTCTCCAGGAGCTTTATCAAGCCATTACAAACAATACATGGACACAGAGGGTATATATAGGCTCAGAGTGAGGTGCAATACTAGTGGTAGTAGTAGTAGTAGTAGTAGTAGTAGTGACGACAAAAGTTGTAGTAGTAGTAGTACAATATGGTAGAGCAATTAATTTGTACATGAGTAAAAGGATATAAATGCTATTACTTGGGTAACATAAAAATAGGTTGGACAAAGAAAGATTGGATATCAGATTGGAGGGAGAGAGTATGGAGGAGGTGAATGTATTCAGATATTTGGGAGTGGACGTGTCAGTGGATGGGTCTATGAAAGATGAGGTGAATCATAGAATTGATGAGGGGAAAAGGGTGAGTGGTGCACTTAGGAGTCTGTGGAGACAAAGAACTTTGTCCTTGGAGGCAAAGAGGGGAATGTATGAGAGTATAGTTTTACCAACGCTCTTATATGGGTGTGAAGCCTGGGTGATGAATGTTGCAGCGAGGAGAAGGCTGGAGGCAGTGGAGATGTCATGTCTGAGGGCAATGTGTGGTGTGAATATAATGCAGAGAATTCGAAGTTTGGAAGTTAGGAGGAGATGCGGGATTACCAAAACTGTTGTCCAGAGGGCTGAGGAAGGGTTGTTGAGGTGGTTCGGACATGTAGAGAGAGTGGAGCGAAACAGTGGCTTCAAGAGTGTATCAGTCTGTAACGGAAGGAAGGCGGGGTAGGGGTCGGCCTAGGAAAGGTTGGAGGGAGGGGGTAAAGGAGGTTTTGTGTGCAAGGGGCTTGGACTTCCAGCAGGCATGCGTGAGCGTGTTTGATAGGAGTGAATGGAGACAAATGGTTTTTAATATTTGACGTGCTGTTGGAGTGTGAGCAAAGTAACATTTATGAAGGGGTTCAGGGAAACTGGCAGGCCGGACTTGAGTCCTGGAGATGGGAAGTACAGTGCCTGCACTCTGAAGGAAGGGTGTTAATGTTACAGTTTAAAAACTGTAGTGTAAAGCACCCTTCTGGCAAGACAGTGATGGAGTGAATGAAGTTTTTCTTTTTCGGGCCACCCTGCCTTGGTGGGAATCGGCCAGTGTGATAAAAAAAAAAAAAAATATATAGACTGGATAGAGGCAGCCTGTTTCAGTGTTCACTCTCTGTAATGTGCTTTGTGTAGTATAACAGGAGAGACTATGTGATGGCAGGGTTTACTGTTTTCAGGAGGATTCTTGCTAAGACTTCAGAGATGGTGAAGCTGCCGTTGTTTTGTTTAATTGTATTCGAAACGGCGATCAGTGCTGATTCGAGGCACTTGAGTCTGCGGAAATTAGTTTCTTTGATCACTAATTGGGCGTCTCTGAATTTCATGAGATGATTGGTGGAATTTCGGTGTTGTACACAGGCGTTGTTCAAGTTATCGTTCCTACATACGTAAATGTGTTCATTGAGGCGGGTGTCGAGGTTTCTTGCTGTTTCACCTACGTAAATCTTGTCACAGCCTCCACAGGAGTTTACACTATACCCTGTGGAATCCTCCTGAAAACAGTAAACCCTGCCATCACATAGTCTCTCCTGTTATACTACACAAAGCACATTACAGAGAGTGAACACTGAAACAGGCTGCTTCTATCCAGTCTATATTTGTCCAACCTATTTTTATGTTACCCAAGTAATAGCGTTTATATCCTTTTACTCATGTACAAATTAATTGCTCTACCATATTGTACTACTACTACTACAACTTTTGTCACTACTACTACTACCACTAGTATTGCACCTCACTCTGAGCCTTTATATACCCTCTGTGTCCATGTATTGTTTGTAATGGCTTGATAAAGCTCCTGGAGAGCGAAACGTTGCCACAATAAAATGTCACATTAGTTGCACTTGTGTCCTTTTACGATACAGTTTCTGTCAGACTTGGATCAAAACATGGTCATAGATTTGTCTTCTAAATGAGGGTTATTTGCATATTGTTCCAGCCATTATATTGTAACTTATTCTCTGCAATAGTCATAAATGGCACTTCAACTGCCCAGTCAATCAAATTAGGTGTCTTCAAAGTTAGCATCACTGGCCCCATTTTCTTCCTCATATATCAATGATTTACTGAATACCACAGCATCCTTAGCTACGGTTCTCTGCTGTTGACAATACAGTAGGACCCCCGTATCCATGGGGGATACCTTCCAAGATCCTGCCGTGGATACTGAAACCGTGGATAGTATCAAACCATACTATATGTAAGTCCTAGACATATCTATTATAAAGTTTTGATAAATTATGCACAATAAGCGGAGAATTATCACTATATGACAAATTACTATTTTGAACACGAAGGTAAATCTTTCATTAAATACACACATCAGCCTGCAGCACGAACCTGTGTACAGCCACAAGGAATGTGTGGTTGACAATGTGACAGGTTGCATGACAAGTAGAGTATTATCCTTCAACCACAGTACTCACCTTGGACTTCTTGTACTGGGAAACTTTATGTGGTTGATGCTTCTTGCATTTCCAGCAGAAGGTATTTCGGGTCTTGGGAATGTTCACCTGCAAACAAGAAGCCATTTGAAACACAGTAATTTTATATGCATATACACATGCACACAAACATTTATAGGGCCTGGAGCAAAGTTTCGACTCCTGCAACCACGTAACAGGTGGGCATGCGCGCTCACACATGCACACATTTCTTTTAAATATTCATATACAAATCTTCAGTAATAATCAATAGGAGCAACCTGTATAGAAAAAACAAAATGTGCTTTGAAAGAAGTAATGTCAATGAATGTAATGATATGCTTATCTTATGCTGTCTTGAACACCAGCTCCAAACAATCCCCTAAATATTTATATTATCATATTTATATATTTGTGCAAGTATTCTCCTCCACTTCAATCTGGGGTGGGTGTCTGGAAGCATTTGAAATGGACAAGTATCAGGTAGCTGAGGTTATATCATACAGGTGCTCTTTGACTAATGATGGGGTTATGTTTCAATGAATCCATCACAAGTAGAAAATAATGTAAGTTTAATATGAATATAGGAATAAATAAATGCCACTGAATAAGTAAATAAATAATTACTGTAACTAAATACCAGTACTTAAAAGTAAATAAATGAATACAAGTTTATCCTATCAATAATTGTACAGTACTGTACAATACAAAAAAAAAAAAGTTTCACAGTACTATCACACCATTGTAAAGTTGAAATATTGTAAGTTGAACCATCATAAAGCAAGGAGCATCCGTGTGCACAAACTCTGAATTATCCTTTTTCCTGTCTCTTCTTTCTGAAGTGCAACATGAGCACCTAAAGTCATACTTGGAAGTCAAAAAACAATTAAACAGATTACCGAGGCACGGTACAATACAGCCTCTCCTCACTTAATGACGAGGTTCTGTTCCTAAGACTGTGACGGTAAACGAATTTGTCGCTAAGCGAGGAGCATACTATAACAGTAGTGGGTTTGTGTCGACCATCTTTGATATTGTTTTAATGTCACCTTTGCACCATTTATAACATTTTTAGTATATTTTTAAATGTTTATACAGTATAAACCTTGGCAATAAATACCGACAAGTTGGTTTAGAAAGACATGTAAGCAAACACTTGACATATTTATTAGAAAAAGTTTTGGTCCTGGGACCTTGATCACTTCTAACATACCTCACTCTCCACCTATATATAATGTCTTTCTACCTCTGTATGTTAAAAGTGATCAAGATCCCAGGATCGAAACGTTTTCTAATAAATACGTCATAGTGTTTGCTTACGTGTCTTTCTAAACCAACTGTATACTGTAATAAACAGAATAGAAGAAATCAGCTCTAATACACATTATTTAGGTATGCATACTGGTCAGAGACCCTGTTGTAAGTCCGAGTTGCCAGTAAACAAGTATCTCACTAATTGAGGAAAGGCTGTACTAGCTTTCAATGTTTCCTATACGAAATACTACTGGTCATTACCACATTAGTGGCCAATGATATATCCACATCACCTACAAGTGTGTCACGATCTAATTCTAACAAATCTTTTATAAGGTGACAGTTTGGAACAAGGGAAGACAGTGATACTGAGATGCTAAAGAAAAGAAAGTTGACTGTTCAATACAGGTCAACTATAATGTAGATTTAATCAAGTCAAATAAACGAATCCCAGGCATATGCAGCATTTTTTCCAAGAGTGAATAGTTACTTTATATTTTGATCAGGGAGAAGCACCAAACACATAGGCAGTCACATAATTCTGAGAGAATGGGAGGCATTCACGTTCGATCCAAGGAAGATAGGCAAGTCCAGTATCTTGTACCAAGAATCCTTCACCAGTGCCAAGTTGCCTCCCTTGAGAGAAGTGGACAATAAATTGATAAAAATTGTCAGTTCTGCAATGAATTAGCTGCAGTACAACATTAAATGATGACCAAGATCATTTCTGTGGCAAACTTGACATGTATGCATGGCATGGAGAGGATCTTTTTAGGGCTTTGGTTGCCAGTTCAGTAGAGGGTGCTGCAACCAAACTACCAGGCTATAAACTGAGGATAAGCAAGTTTATTTTGGCACAGGTACACACAAGTACAATTATCATACATAGTGCAAATTACCCCCCAGGTTACAAAAAAAAAAAAAAAATTAGAAAGTGGCTTATCTACACTGGGATCCTGGGTTGTGCAGTACCGTACTGGCAAAATGTCGAGGGATTAAGAACAGAAAAAATTACAGTACTATGTAGTACAGTAAAACATACAGCAGTTAATAAGAAATTTCATAATAAAGTTACTAATAAGAACAAAGAGTAGCTTAACCCCTTCAGGGTCCAAGGCCAAAATCTGAAGTGGTGCCCCAGTGTCCAAGAATTTAAAAAAAAAAAATTAGTTATTTTTTCTTATGAAATGCTTGAGAATCTTTTTGTGAAGGTAATAAAACAAAAAGTACGAAATTTGATGGAAAATTGACGAAATTATGCTCTCGCGAATTTTGATGTGTCAGCGATATTTACGAATCGGCAATTTTGCCGACTTTGACTCCCATTTTAGGCCAATTACATTATTCCAGTTGACCAAATTCTTAGCTATTTCACTAGGATTACTTCTATTCTATCGACTGAGCACAAGAAATCGCCAAATCAACCGTTTCAACTACAAAATAAAGTGATCGGAAGTTGGTAATTTGGCCAATTTAACACAAAGTTCAAAATATTCCAATTTCAAAATAGGGTCCAGAATAAACAAAGTAGGTATTCCTGGCACTAAACTAACATTTCTTCTGTTCATTAGTTACATTCTGAGGCTTTACAAATAGATTCCATTTTGATTTTTTATTCACATAATGAATTTTTATTCACACCAAAAAATAGAAGATTTACTGTTATGCAATATTGTAATAATTGTATAAATATCATCACCATATTTGTGAATGTATATTAGACCCACCAGCTGGTGTGTATTAGACGTGTGAGATCGTTTGTTTACTCTTGAACATCAGCAAAAATTTAACATTTCTGCTACTTTGAGCTCAGTTTCAAGCCATTTCCAGTGCTAAAACCAATCAAAATCATCTCTATTTCTGTAATATGTCTTCCATTCTATCAAATGAGACCAAGAAATTGCAAATACAACTATAAAAAACATACGAAAAAACACTGCAAAGTCGCTGTTTTAATCGAAAAATCATGGTCTGTCTTTTTATCTCATTATACACAGTGTGCTGCAGGATTTGTTTTATGTGGTGCACACACACCACATAGATGTATTCTCTCATATCTAGGCCCAAATGTACCACTCACAGTTTATCAGAGTGAGCTGAGCTCATGACGTAGATCTACGGTTTGGATCCTGAACGTAAAGCCGTAGATCTACGGGACGGACCCTGAAAGGGTTAAGAGACAGGGTGAAGCAAAACTTTTCTTAACATCTAACCAGAAAGCAAAATCAAATGCACCACACTACACAGGAATACTGCAACAAGTAACCAAGATCTGGTATAATTTTCAAAATCTTAAGCATGCCTACCCAATGCTACACAAATAGGTACACTAATTAAAATAAATGGGTACAAATTATTCCACAATAGTGGGTCTACCTGGAGGGCATTCCGGGGATCAACGCCCCCGCGGCCCGGTCCACGACCAGGCCTCCCGGTGGATCAGGGCCTGGGTAAGACTAGTGTTAAACCTGTAAGGACCACATAGCACAGAGGTGGTTTTTAGTTATGAGGGTATGGATTACTTCAAGTGGGGGTTAGTGTGGTTGGAAAATTAACATCATAACTGGTGCCATAAATCTGTTCGTTAGAAAAATCATAGAGGAAGTCAGCATCAAAGGTGGGGGAGAGGCAACAGGGGTTCCACCTATGTCAAGTCAAAGTAAATGTGTACAGGCACTGCAAACATCCAAGGAAAATCTTGTGTGTTTTCTAACAATCTTAATATGTGGTGGGTGAACTATCAAAGCCACTTGACAGGCCTCGGCAGAGTGGCGATGGCATCTTTCTTTGTGGTATCCAAGAGCAAGTCGTTTGATCAACTCAAACATGTGAGAGCAGATTCTCACACCTGTCAAAGATGAGAAGATAGCCAGGAGCCTAACTGTGGTTTCATGGAAAATAATTTGTACTCCAGCTTGGACCAGCACTGTTACCATCAAGTCTAAAGCCTCTGGAACGGTACTGGAAAACAGTCAGAATACTGGAGTACCCTGTATAAGGTTGGCATGTGTTTGTTACCCTGGACGTCAGTGTGAACGGGGATCCAGAAAAAAAAAAAATATGCTATTACAAAAAATTCTACATAACCAATGCTGTAAAGAATACGATGTGATGTGAACAAGTTATATTGCTTGTAATGCACTGAGAATCAGAAACTACAACAAATGAGGTAGGCATGGCTGCAATGTGTATAATGGCAATGGGAATGGCTCAAGCATCAAGCAAATAAACAAGTGCTTGACTGCAGTAGAGGCAGTTATTTTTTTCAGTTATGAAGTGCACTTGGTGTATAAGCATGGCAGTATGTGATGGGATCCACTTAAGCTATTAGATGGATTTTAAGTTTTGAAGTGGGAATTACAATGTCTGCACTTTAAAACCAAGGTGGGGATGGTGCCATTTCATCAAGCTGCTGGCTCATCATTTTCATGCTATGGAATGAAAGTTTAATGTTTTCTATTTTTGGGTCATCCTACCTTAGGGCAATTTCTTATAAACAAAGATATACACGTTAAGGAACCCCAAGAGAAGAACTTGTGAAACCTTCATTAATTTTAACTATGAACTAATATCTTTGTTGAATAACAATGTTGTGCTATCTGTTTCATCTCTGCACAAAAACTTGCATCCTACCTCAGTTTGTTAAAATCAACATAACATATTGAGCAAGACCAGCCTAAATTCAGTCAGTATATTCATAAAATTTTTATTGTGATATGTACTGTATTTTGCAAGTCATATGCAAAAATGAATAAAAAGAGTAAAACAATCACTGCCAAATCAGCCATGTCAGTAAGCTGCAGAATGAAATAAGCATGTTATATATACAGTATAGTATCTAAATAATCAATGACCACAAAACTGACCAAATTTTCAAGCCACCAACATCAGCGAGTTATCCAGGCTGTAGATTCTGCAACTTAAAATTAATTCAACATAATTTACATTGATTTTAGAATATGTTAAGCTAGTGCTTGCTCAATCTTAATAAATTTACAAATGGCAGAATACCTTGCCATTAACAATCGGAATTTTCCTGACCAAACAGTAACTTGGTAACGTCAGTGAGATAACTAGCATTAAAAGGCTCTCGAAATAAAAAATGGCAAAAAATAAACACGCAATGAAAAATTAGTGCTATATCAATGAAAACTTAGTAACACTTTATTGGTTAACAACGTGCATTATGGCATACAATGCAGAAACACTTGTGGAGCAGCAAGATTGATTGTCAAGAGCTGACCAAGATCTATGGCCATCCTATTATTAAAGAACAAAACACATGCAACATCTGCAAAATTTTATCGAGGAAGCATTTCACCAACCAGTGTGTTCTTCAGTCCAATACAGAGAATAGCAGCGGAAGATGAGGAGTTTGCGGTGATCATTCCCTCAGCCTAGAGTCTTTTACAGTTATTCTCCATACTGGACTGAAGAAGTCACTGGTTGGCAAAACATTTCCACAAGATTCCCAAATGTTATATAAGTCTCGTGCTTCAATTTGTCATTTTTAAAATCATGTCCTATTATTATTATACTTAAAGAGAAATGTTAAACCCATTGGAGGCAAACATTGCCTGTGGAATAAGAAACAATCAGATTAAATCCCAGAGAGTGTGACAAGTCCCATTCCTTAGATCAAGAGCCTTTAACCAGCATCCAGGGGCTTTCCTTGAGAGAGGCACAGCAGTCCTAGAAGCACCAAAGGTAACATGAAGGTTTTTAACTAAATTACACATTTGGCAAAACATAAAAAGCAACTGGAACATGTGCAATATGCTCCTTCACACCTGTTACTGCTACTTTCTAGCAAATTGAAATTCTTAATAGTCAAAACATTTTGACATACATTCATTATTAATTCATTAGTCTTAAGGTAGATGTATGCTTGCCCAAAATGCTCTGCATAACCTGGGGCTTTCCATGCACAATATTATTTATACATCTATTCCTGTATTATATATCATGTGGAAACAAAGAATTTGATTATATGTTAAGAACTAAACCCACAGGGGTCGTACAGCAGTGCCAGACACACGAGCTAACTGCTCGAGATATATTTTACACTATCCTATGGATATTAAAAGAGTAATATTTCCTGCCTAAATAAAGCAAATGGTAATAAAAGATAACTAACGAATAAAATTTTGATGAATTTTCTAAATCACCAATGAAAGCATTAATTGACCTATTTTTTATTTGCATGAAAGCATAAAAAAGAACAATAAAACAGAGAATTTATAAGGTACTACAACAGTAAAAAGGTACAAAACACATTATTTAAAATACAAAATTAGAAAACTGGACTCTTAGTGTAGGGCAGCACTACAATACTATAGTTCTTAGTTATGGAATTAAAGCATTTTATAAATGTGTAATTTAAATTCAAAAAAAGGTAATTATAAGTCAAGATAACAATATTGAAACACGAGGTTGTCTTAGCCACTTTGTACAGCATTATATTAATAGTCTTTAGTTATGAAATTAATGAATTTTATAAGAAAATGTACTTTAAATTAAAAAAAAGGTAATTAAGTGATAACTAAGTGGAGATAAGAATAATGAAGCATAAATTAGGTGAACATGAGGCGTCTCAGTCACTTTACATACCAATATATTACTAGTCTTTAGTTATGTAATTAAAGGATTTTAAAAGTAATTATATAGTCTAAATTTAAAAAATGTAATTAAGTAACAATTACAAGTGGAAATAAGAATAATGAAGGATAAATAAGGTGAGCACGAGGCTGTCTCAGCCACCTAGAGTCAGCTGATCACAGTAAACAATTATATTAACTAATTTTACTCTCGTTAAACAAACTCGAAGACTATTTCTGCAACAATGGACATGTAGTGGCGACTCCATTGCACAATTGCATGCAACATTACCATAGTTGTGAGCGGTGATAGTGAAGAATATGAGAGAAATAACTTAGTGAGCAGCACCAGCACCCTCACTCACTACACGTAAACAAACCACCGCACCTGCGACTTTCGACCTTACGGTTCACCCACACCGCGCTCTATTTTCAACCATCACAACCCACCGGGGTAGTTAACCGCGGCGCATTAGGGCCAGAAGTGGGCATGAGTGCCGTGGCTACCCAGCGGCGGGTCTCCCGCACACCTACCATGGCAGCGGAGAAGGATTGCGGTGGATGCGCGAGGGAAGACGAGAGCGTCGAGGGTCGATGGTGGCGGCCGCCCTGGAAGGAGCACCGGACGTGCGTTCATCTCGTCACCAAAATGCTTCTCAACTTCACCTTAAATATCAACAAATATCAAAATATAAGACAAAATTAACATTTTCCCGAGAAAGTCGCAATATTTGGAGTCATCGCAGGTATTAATTTGATCTAAAATAGAGGTAATAAAGGAGATATAAGGGAATAAGAGAGGTTGTGACGTCATAGGGGGGCGGCGGGCGGGCAGCCAATCAGCGGGGAGGTGGCGGCCTGAAGCGCCACCATCAGTTGGTTTGAAATCTTTCTGGTGTGTACGTCTCTTAGGTCACCCTCGCTACCATGTCTACCACCGAGAAGTCTGTCGCTAACGCCGACGAACAGGTCACGAAGGGCACCAAGAGGGCAGCAGAGGTACGTGTCGCTCCTTGGTAAATAATTACTGACAGCACTTCACTGCTGGCTTTTTAATTTTTTTTTTTTTGATTTCTCGCACCGGGAGGCGCCAGGAAAGTGACTTTGATACCGCATAACTTCCACCTGCAGGAGCAGTGAACGGTGTGGTAGATAGAGGGAGACTAGATAAACACGTGTATCCTCGTAAATTACAGGGAAATAGGTGAAATAAGTGGTTTATAAGGTGTTAATGAGTGCCGTCAGCCCACGCGTGGCACAAATACTAAGTCCAAAAAATGGTGATTGAAGGTGACATGTGTGTAACTGAGGTGGATTATCCGGTGGATAGCTTGCTTTGTTGCTTCTATTGCCTCGGTAACATGTACTAGCGGCGTGTTATGGCGTATTATCAGAGGAAATTAAAGTTTTATGTGGTGGGTTTGGGGGAGGTGGACGGCGGTGCGAGGCTAGAAATTCAAAGTTGGCGGGAGCGGCGGCGGGACCCCGCGCGAGGCTAGCGGCTCCCGCGCTCTTTTTGGCGGGCAACATTTCGCGCGCTTATTTTCTATATTTTCTTGATTTTTCTCCCCATTATTTTGCCTTCATTTAACGCTGATAAAATGTCTGTTAGGTGATGATTAACTTAATTCTTAGGGTTTTGCTTAGTTTATTTTCTTTATCCTACTTATTCCTTGATATTATGACAGTTCCATTTGTTCATGGTTACATAATGGTATAAGATTATGATGGAACCTGGCTGTAAGGGCGTTTAGTTAGTGTCCAGCGACTTGCCGGTGTGCTTTACTGAATTTGAAGTCTTATCAAAGGTCACTTAACCTGTTAACCAGTCTAATACATTCCTCTCTTAATTAGTAATTAAGTCTGTATACATGTACGAGATACACCTTATATATAACATTGAAATATTTCGACTGGTAATGTTGCAAGACTTAACTCGTACCGGTGGCATGACTTACGTAATTTAAATTCCACGTCATGCAAGTCATTTTCTCTATGCATGTGCATTTCGAAAATATTAAAGGCATCAATGATCTTTAGTGAAAGAGAAAAGACTTAAAGCAAGTTGGTTGGTAGAGCTAGGGAAAGTGGACAGAGAAAGACTATGATAACTTGATAACTTCAGACCTGACACTTCCTCGATCTGGTACTAGGAAAAGGCTCGTAAAATAGGGCTTTAAAGCTTGACGTGCCGTGAGTGTTGTAATATTTCTGACTGAAGTTCTTTATATTTTCTAGATGAGTTAACATGACAGCAGGATCGGCTTGATTAGTAACGCGATTGTACGTGTTAACACAGGAAAAGCAAATGTCTATTAATAGAGAGAGGTACGAGAATTATGGCTTAACTTGGATTATGGTAGCAAATTATATATATGGTAGGATTTTTTAGTATGGGTCGAACCGCTTTTAGCTAGGCCACAGTGGTGCAAGTCGGAGCCTGTCCGTTGGGTCAACAGATAGATAAAATGCCTGATTTTCTTTTAACAGTTGCTAGGAAAAGATAATGCTTATGTTCTGTGTGAGTTGTCTAGATAATAGCGGAATCTTTCTCATTGCATAACCTAATACCATATATATACATTGATCTTTTAAGATGTCCGGTAGGACTCTAGTGAACAAATAGTCTTTATATCGACTTGCAGGGGTTACCAGAGGACTGTTACCCTTATGGTGGGAGCCTCAGGGACGAGGTTTCACCCCGACAAGGCCTTGGAAGTGGAGGTTGCCGAGGAGATTTTCACCCTTAACGCCATCCCGCTAGGTGGCAAGGGATTCTCGCTCTTACGGCGCCAGGGCGGGGGATTTTAGTTCTTATGTGAGGGACGCGGCTTGGGTACCGCCACCGCTCCCCAAGACCAAAATACTTTGCGGGCGGCTGACGGCGGCAGGCAAGGAGCTTGTACACCGGGAAGGCTGCGGTGCGTATGCCGCAGGATGGCGCGTAGGGATAAATGCAGTATTAGGAAAATATTGGGTGGTAGATAGCTTTTTAATCTTTTTTTTTCTTAGTTTGACATTACAGCTAGGTTTAGTTTTATGGGTTTTCTTTTCCTTGTGTGTTCTCAGAATTTGTATACTAAGTTGTAGTTTTTCTTGCAGGAGGAGACAGAGGATCCGAAGAAGCTGAAAGGAGAGGAAAATGGCGAGGAGGAGCTAGAAGAAGAAGAGGACGACCTGGGAGAAGAGGAGGAGGACTTGGCAGATGCTGAGGAGGAACTGGATGAAGAAGCAGAGGGTAAGGTTTTTCGCTTCAAATTTTGCATGTTTTTTCATATACTGTAGTTTTTTCAAGACTTATTGTTTAATAAATGCTTGGCATAATCAAAGATTTATGGAATGTTTTTTGTTTAATATAGATCATTGTTTATATTTAATGAAGATATTGAAAAAAAATCCTTGTGTGCATGCTTAATTCTTGCCTTTGACAGAAGAGGAGGAAGGAGAAGGGGAAGAGGGTGAAGGAGAAGAGGATGAAGAGGACGAAGATGCAGAAGATGCGTAAGACGACAGCTGCTGAAGACCGGCAATGCATCCCTAAGCCGGGGACGACCACCACCTGAGGATGCCCGGCCGGGGGGGCTGTGGGCGATGGGCTCTGCTCCAGTTTTTATTATTGTATTGTATTATATTTCACGTACCTGTACAGTCAGTGTGAGAGTAGCGCGTGAGTGTGAATGACAGAAGCGCCCCTCGCCTCGCCCCCCCAGCTTATGGAGCTCAAGCGTCCTCAACTTAGCAACGGCGACGCCGCCCGCGCCCGCCTGCCGCCCACAAGACCACCACCTCCCGCACGGGTGGTGGGGTCGTGGGACCCCGGCACAACGAGGCAGCAGAGAAGCAGGAGTGTTAACCAGGGCGCGGTACCACCGCACATGTCGCCAATACACCTCGTGTAGTGTCTATTTTCCATTGATACCAAAAGCAAGCAGGGCTCCCTATTTTATTTTTCTACAATGCATCTCTTCTGAACTGATGTGTTTTTTGGGCAGTACAAGATAATTTCATTCTTTAATTTCATAGGAGTGACAAGTCTTCATTTTGTGTGAAAGTCAATAAAGCTTAAGTTGTCTGTATATGTGCTGTCTCATTTTGTGTTCTCATCCACAAAGTGAGTGCGACGAACAGTAATTGTCGTGCTCACCAGACGAGACCCAACCTCGTGACTGTCACCACGTTTATAATAAAACTGAAAATAGTTTTATGAACTTGCGTTTTTTTACCAACCAAATGGATGGCAAGCAGTACCTGGCATTATTTCTACGGTATGATTTATTTAACAATAAAAAAAGTAAAGTACTATGCTTTATTATTTCCCTGCATATATGTTTGACCTGCCTGTTAAGTTATTCAACGTTACCTCCAGGCGCTTTATGACCTTTAATGGTTCGGCGTTTTCGCATGAATATACCTTTAAAATTTTAGTATCTACACGTACATGGTCAAGAAACCAGTTTTAATTTTTTTCTAACATTTAATGTTAGTGTCGTTTTCAGTTCTTAAAGTCCATTGAGGGAATTATTATTATCAAAAAGAAGCGCTAAGCCACAAGGGCTATACAGCTCCATGCTGTATAGTCCTTGTGGCTTAGCGCTTCTTTTTGATTATAATAATATACAGCTCCATTCCCCTCAAGGAAGGTTCCTTGATGGTGAGGGGCTCTTGATTTAGGGAATTTGATCTGTGCTCCAGTTCCCCGAATTAAGCCTGACTGCCTTCCACATCCCCCCCCCCAGGCGCTGTATAATCCTCCGGGTTTAGCGCTTCCCCCTTGATTATAATAATATACAGCTCCATTGAGGGAAGTGTTGATGCTGGTGAAGGTTGTAGCCTACAATTTCCTTTGCAACCTGAGTGCTTCCAGTTAACTAGGAAGGTTCCTTCGTGCTGATGAGGGGCTCTTGATCTAGGGAATTTGATCTGTGCTTCACTTTCCTGAATTGAGTGAATACCTTCCATCCCCCCACCCCCAACAGGCGCTGCATAATCCTACGGGTTTAGCGTTCCCCCATGATTATATAATCCTCACGAGTCGTTTAACCTCTGAGGAAGGTTTCCTAAAGTTGTAGAGGAGTTCTTGATCCAAGGAATATGATTGGTGTGACCAATGGGTCTGGAGTGTCCCAGCCTCCCTGAATGCAACAATACGTCCCCTCAAGGGAGGTTCCTTGACACTGGTGAGGGGCTCTAGATCTAGGGAATTGGATCTGTGCTCCAGTTCCCTGAATTGAGCCTAAATGCCTCCCATCCCCCCACTTGCGCTGTATAATCCTACGGGTTTAGCGCTTATCCATGATTATAATACGGATTTAACACTTGAAAATTAGTAGTTTTATGGAGATTACTTGATGGGAACAGGTTTAGCGCTTCCCGATAAATAATAAGCTTTTAATTCAAGGTATTCCAGGTGTCATCTCGGATCAAACTTTTTTACAACTGAAGGAGCTGACAACGATTTTATTGCTTGTCATTAATGCCAATACCCAATGTTATTTAAGTAGATATTAACGCTAATCATAAAGCGCCAAACACCTAGGGGAATGGGAGGCATACAAGTTCGATCCAAGGAAGAGGAGCACAGGTCTAAGATGTCAAGGATCCCTCAGGCATCAAGGAACCTCACTTGAGAGGTAGTTTGTGAAAAACTTGGTAAGGTTTTGCAAGTTCTAAACTGGCAGAACTGGTGCTCT